ATATGTGCGGAAACATTTTTAGTTATATAGTTTCCTCGTATCTTACCGACGGGGTACAAAAAGTAAGCATTAATGGTATATTGTCATCGGCATCAATAGTACAAATGGTAGTTACTTGGTTATCGGTGCTACCATTTCTGTTTTTAGTTTATATTATAAATTTGTTATATGTGGTTAAAAAAAGTCGTAAAACATTGCGAATGACACTTCACTATTTTTTAAAGTTAATTCGAAAGATGAAACACTAAATCAACCAAATAATATACTAGATGTTATGTCAGGCTGGTTTTCAACCAGTAATTTACTCCACTAAAACTAAATATTTCAGATTTACTCTCTATATAAGTTTTCTCACAAGCCGGGAATCTGTATTGATGGCAAAATCCTACCCCTTAAGGAAATAATAAACCCTAGAGTAAATCACGATTTATTTTGGGATTCCGCGTCCGGTTAAGACACAATATTTGTATTGCAAAAGCAACCCATACGCGGTGTCTATGACTTGGGTCCACATGAATCACTATGGTATATTTTTAGAGAATAAACTTTTTAACGCTCCCGTTGCGACACATACTCGAAAACATCATGTACGTTCGCAATCATATCCATCTTTTTACAAAATACAAGATAGCGTTCTGGTCCTTGTGACACTCAGGTAATTTCGAAACTTAGACTGGCTAAAACTAGAAACTCGTATCTCGGTAGATGTATTATAACAACTCATATAATAAAATAGGTGACAAACAAATAAGTGTAAAAAAAATACAAATCTTTTTTAAAAACTACCCTGATGAAAAGGGCCTATCATAACGTAGATTACACTGAGGACAAGGATGTGTGGAAATGACTCTTGCTCTGCACTGGCAAGTCCCCTGCATCACCAAAATCAGCAGCCGGTGATTTTATACGTAATGTTGTATATATAATTTTTTTACCTTTCTTACACCGCAGAGTTTCTTGCTGTTTCTTCTCTGGACAGGTCTAGTTTAAGAAACCGGTGGTAGTTTTCGGCGACCTTCAATAAAAGCTTTAAAAAGGCCTATACTTGACTTTGACACTGCGGAGAGTGAATAGAACCTTATAGATATATATATAAATGAAGGATTTTATTTAATTTTTATTTTGCATTATTATTAATTTCACAATAAAAACAATGTTTCTAGGGGTTGAGGTCGAACCCGAATCTTCGTGTTCTAGAGACAGGTTTACTATCTAGTACGCCAAATCGACTAATATGTGATGATAACGAAGTTACAAAAAAAATTTAATTAGTATAGAACAGAAAATAAAGTAAATTTTAACATTAAATAAAAAAACGTTTAAAGACATTAACAAAATTAAAATCAAAATTTCTTCACGAGAATAGATTAGGCATTTATAACCTTTAAATTATTTGCGTGGTTATGTTTTCATGTTCATATATATAGTCCTATCTCGAAAACAAATCTACTGTGAAACGAACCTTTCACAGCTCCGCAAGATGTTCATAAAAGTGCCACTCACGGGCACTTGGACAACGTATTCCGTTTGCTTCTATGAATAATAACAAGCCTGTCCGAACGGGAAACCGTCGCCACGGGGCTGAATGACAAACAGGGAGCGAAAACGAAAGTGGTGTTCATAAAAGTATTGCAGCCTTTATTTCTTTCTTGTGCTTCTCGTATTTCTTTTTTTTATGTCAAATCGTTATTAAATAAAATTTATTGATAAGTTTTTATAGTATAATTTAGTACGAATTAGTCTGAGGCACTCGCCTGAACTAGGATATCAAATAGGCACGAATGTAGTCGATTAATACAGAAAATGAAGTTTGTATTTCACTTTTTACTTTTAAGAAAGAAATCACATATTTTAAGACATCATAGAATATATTTACAGTGTAAAGAAACATAACAGTTATAACATTAGGAACAGCGCGATGATACATAGCTGTAGATGATACATAGTCTGTTGAAGGACAAGTAAAAAATATTCAATTTAGAGTTTTCGATCAATTTACGGGGGGAACCCGATCTATGCAAACATTTTGGAATAATGTTTAATTGGTGGTTGTTAGAAATGAGAAAATGAGGAAACGAAAAGTTCGAAAACGGATCTATGGATCTATCATCTGTACATGCAACTTATACCATAGTTATCGGGTGACTTAGATATGAATTAACAGAATTTCACGGGCATTTTTGAGAGACAAAAATATTTCAAAGAGTAGTTTATCTGACTTGCTTATTCTGTAATTTCCCGTTGAAATATTTTTTATGGTGAATCACATCGAAACAAATTTAAATTACTAGTCAGCAAATTCAGTGCTTGATATATCACAGAAATTTTAAATTCAAATTATGTGTGCAATGCTGAAAAGGCTGAAAACGCTGAACGAAACTTAATTTGTCAAAACTCAAATGTCTGCCGTCGCTCTCATTTTCAAGTTAAGGCTTGTGTATTTGTGTTTCGAATTTAGTTATTCATTTATTTATGGAAAACTTAAAATATCGCATTATATAAATTTAATTCTTTTAATAAGAAAGGTTTGTTAAATCTGGATCTCACTTTAGAAATCCCGCTTAGGAGTCTCAAGCATATTATGTAGTTTGTTATACTTGTACAAGTATGTATATAAGTGGAAAACAAAACTTTTTATAGGAATTAACGAGCTGTGGGTATATTCCTGTAACGAATTCCGTTCACAGTCACTGCAATTTCGGCCTCATTTTCAAAAAAAATATGGTCCAATCACGCCGCCTGACCAAAATCCGCACCAGACAGTTACTCGTTGTGGTTGCATTTGTTTCTCATTGATTGCATGAGGATTTTCTGAGTTCCAAATTCGACAATTTTGTGTATTCACGCAGCCATATGTAAATGCACTTCATCGGAGAAAATGACTTTTTTCGAAAAATTGGCATCGACTTCACTTTGTTCCATTACCCATTGAACGAATTGCTGGCCCTTTCCGTGGTCTAATGGTTTGAGCTCCTGAGTTAACGGATTCTTGTACGCATGAAGGTGGAGATCTTTAGTCAAAATTCGCTTCGTAGTGCTTCGTGAAATTTGAAGTTGTTGAGAACGATGTCGAATTGATGTTTACGGGTTTTCGGCGACACTGTCGTTTACAGCAGCAATGTTTTCAAGAGACCGACCGTTGACGCAAAGGATTCTTATTATCCATAATTGACACAGTTTCTTCAAATTTTTTGACCTCTCTTCGCACTGAGACACACAGACACAATAAGTGCACTTTCTCGGCTGAAAATTTGGCGAAGTTTGCGAGCGGTTTCAGTGTAACTTTCCCCATTTTTGTAATGAGTTTTCACAATTATAACGCGTTGTTCTTCCGAAAAGCGTTCATTCTTAATAATCAGAATAAACAGAGGTGACAGCTGTAAAATTTCAGAGTTGCCACGTGCATGAAAAAATAATATTCTAATTTTAAAAAGTGCACTCTTCATGAGACACCCTTTATTTTAACAATATTGAAAAACACATGGAAATGTCAATAATCACCTATATTAATTAATTGTTCAGTACCTTATGAACAACACATATACGCGGTTTTAGTATCTATGAAATTAACTTATGATCTAAAATTGCACGTTGACAGCAAATATGTTTCTGTCGTGTTCAATATTCATGTTCAGACACTTTAGAGCGTTACGGATAATAAATGGTGAGTCCGAAATAGTTTAATTAAATAATGTGTAATATTCGCGTATATATTAGCAACTATTACATGGCGCATATTTAAATACAATTGACAACACGTTACCGACAAAAGTGAATCATGTTATTAAAAGTATTGGCGTAGCCGACACCACTAGTACTGTATAAGGGCAGAAGACAGAAGAGAAGATAAGTATATTGTGTACATAATGCAGTATTACTTAATCAAACAGAGCCCAGTTACAAAAGCAATAACTATAACTAAAATATAAATATAAATATTTTTTAAATACGAATTTCATATGTTGAATAATAACTTAATAAACAAAGTCTATCGATGTGAGGTCGGAACAAGCATGCCACGGCAAGGTCCTCCACGACCGATCCATCCCCGCGGAAAGTGAACGTTTAAGGTTTACAAATTTCCCGGCGCTACGTCGTTGGATCACCATACTGCTTTGGTTTTTGGAAATATGCCCTCTCTGTCACTAGAAGCCATGACAAGCTCGTCATAGACGCCAGCCTTCAATTGCCACTGGTATTAGAAGTTGCTAACCCATAAAGCCTGTGGATGCTCGCGAGCCCATACTTGATAAAGATCAACATAAAGATGTTAGTGTGTCCCGACCTGGTGAATATTGCCCCATCGGTCCATATAACACGTTTCACATATTCCTTCATATCGCACAAGTTTTTCCCTTTAGATTAGTAGGTATCAGCTCCTGTGTACGGCGATAGTGTTAGGGATTTTTTTTAATTATATAAACACGGTGTTTAAGCTATTACTTTCCTAAACTACTTCCTATATCAATTACAAAACAATATTCTTCTATTTACTGCGTATTATCAAATTTACAATTAAACAAATCCTCAAACATTTATATCTGTTTATAAATAATATTCACCATATTTCGTTTACCATTAAACTCTTTATTATAAATCATTATTATTTTAAATTAATACTTAATTACGTAACCACATTTTTTTTATTTGAAACAACATACTCTTATACTCAAGACTTCGCAAAATTAGGCTTGAATGAAAGCAAATTATTATTATACATCGATAAAAACTCATCAGACTGTACGCGACCAGTGATGTGATTTGTTTTAGAATCCGTCTCGTCCTTGTAACAACTTAGGTCACGCCACTTGGTTAAATCGGCGCCGGATATATCAGAACAGAAAACGGGCATATTACTGTAATAAAAAGAAAATTATTTAGTAAACATTACAAATCAGCCGCAAGAATTCAACATCATACCCGCTGCGTTGAACGTCAAAACGGAATTACTAGTTATCTTTTTTAAAGTTATTGGATTAAAAATATTAAAACTTTTATTAAAGTAAAACATCATGAACATACTCTGTCCTCACGTTGAAAAACGCCTGCGGCTGTATGTATTCAATGCCTTCCGCATTATCGCAAGCAAGCCGAGCTAAATTAGTTTTTCTGATCTCTTGCAGCTGGCCTGAAAATAAATTAAAGCTTATTTTTTAGGTCCCCGTCGTTTTAAAATAATTACAGCCAGACGGAAAGTGATTACGTTCCGGACGTAAATGCGTTAACTATCGCTTGCCCTGATTAACCGTTGTTTTTTTAACGTCGGATTACAACGGAATTTATATTTCCGTTACGGAAGGCCCATCCATTCACAGCAAACGAAAACTGAGTATGTTGAACATTAAACATGTCCATAGTTCAAGATTACTTACGCACTGAGAAACTGTGAAATTGGTCTCCTCTTTCAAACCAAAATCTGTCGCCTAATCGGTAAACATTCATTTGTCGCGCAATTATGCAAAACAGGGTTGGCCCAACAAAGGTATTCTTGATATAATTTTCGCTGATTATTCCCGCAAGCAAATCTACGTCGTCCACGTCGTCATAAAGTCGTCTTAAAACTTCGACTTTCTGAAAGTTTATGGGTTTGATAAGGTAATAGCAGAAATACAAAATTTTAAACTGTTTTAAATATGTGACTTATCCTGCATTTGTATGACTCCAAAAATTAAAAACGTGATATTTTCATAAAATCAATATTTCATGCGAAGTATTCAACAGTTCAAAATTGGTGGACTTTAGTAATAATAAATAAAACTAGATGTTTCCGCAGAATTTGGTTGATTAGTTATTTCAATGGTTGCGTTTCTCAATAGATTAAAAATATTTATGAGTAAAACACGTATGTGTCTAAAATATAAACCCTTACCTAAAGAAACGAAGAACATGATTATCACTATGGATACAAACGAATTAGTAATACATTACCTCTATATCAATAACATCTGCAAAATCTTCAAAAATCTTCGCTGTTTTCAGGCCACAGATCTGCCTGTAATCATTATATCCTCTCATTCCCAAGTCCCTGCCTCTCTGAATGTCACTGGCAGCTTGATCATAAGCCTTTTGAAAATTACCAAAATAACGCTCGGAAATCTGGAAAATTAAGGATAAGAACAGAAATTAATATTCAAATTTATTTGTTTATTGTTTTGTACCTTTTGTACATATATTTTATGTTTGAAACTTAACAAATTTATTAAACAATTTAAATAAAAAAACAGTTACTAATATATAGCAGTGAAGTTAACTAAATGTTAAAAATTAACAATTTTTAACATTTAGTTCTGTCTTTTTTAACATTTAGTATTTAAATAAATGCCACCCTCTACCTCTGGATCTTGTATGTCATCAATTTTTGCAGCGTTCTGGTAAAAAGTTCCTCGGTTGATATCTTCAAAATTGTCATCCTTTTCTAAGACGCCTTGCCTTAACAAGCTATCGCTATATGACAATTCTCCTACGTAATTATATTTCGAATCATATTTCCTGCAATAATTGTGTTAATTAATATACTTATCTGGAACAAAACTTTTCAAATTTTTTATCAGAATGGCCTAATTTTGAACGTTTACTTGATTCTTCCGTCGATTAGTGTGCGAAAGAAACGAATTGCGATTTCGTACTCCGCAAACACAAGGGGCAGCGATTCTTCATCGTAAACACTAATGTACAACTTGCCACTTGATAACAAGCCGTAATTCACCATATTTTGATGACCTTAAACATTTTTACGTTATAAGTGATTTAGACTAAAAATAAAACTTCTCTAAATAACTTAAACATATTACGACATTGGCTCAAAATTAGGAACCTGTAAGGTGTAAATAAAAATAAAAAAGTAAAGTCTATGCTCAAATGCCTTTTCTCTACCCAGGTTGTTGTAAGTATGTACAAAGGGTATAAGGGCCATAGTCAACCACGCGACCCCCCCTTCGGATTGACAGACTTCACATCACTTGAATTTTTTTCCAACAATTTCATTGGTACTGGGATTTGAACTCAGGTTCCTCGACTTTATCAAAGGGATACTGAGCTATTGCAGCTAAATGTAAATGTGTAAATACTTTTAAATTAAATTTAAGTTATCTTTGTAATGCCTTATATTTTTAAACCAGGATAAGAAAAATTTTAATAGCAACTCATTTTCAAATATTTCAATGGAAAATTTTATTCGTTTGCTGTAAAGGAAACACTTTGCCTAAAAATGTAATAAAAACCAAAAAAGATAAAATACGTTGCTCGAGCGCGTTCACAATATATCTGCAGTGTAAAATATAATCGTCTCTACGTTTCAAATATTTCATTATAAAAGTATACCTGTATGAAAAAGTAGGAAACACACTAGATGACGCCAAGGATCGATTAAAAATATACTAAAAACAAATTTGATAAAATACGTTGAGCTCAGTGGTTGGAAAGTCAGGCGCGAATCCCAGAGTACTCAGGTTCAAATCCACGCAGCGGTGAAAAACTATTCGTCTCTTTTTTCAACTTTTTCAACACTATAAAATTTAATATTCTTTAATGATATTGGCCGATACATATGATGGAGTTATACACAAGACTTTTTGTACCGCAAATGTTACCTTATCTCTTATTTCAAAAGAACACCAGTAGAGCTGCCGGTAAAATCTAATTGCATACAACCAACTTTGTCTCATGAATTTTAAAACAAATGAATATATGTTAACTATTAAGCTAACTTACCTAACAATCCTGGCAGAAGTTCATACATGAATATATTAACTGCCGTTCCTATGTTAATTTGTCTCGCAACTTTGAAGAGACGATCGTCCTTCCAGCACGGATTTAGTTTATGCAAATTTTTTGCCAAACGGTTGTGCTCCCGCATGAAAAAGATCGTGAATCCGGTCGTTCTTAGGTCGAAATTGCCTACTTCTGGAAAACCTAAAATATAGGTATATCAATCAAGAAATCAATATACCCATATTGATTTATGTCATTCATGGTTACATGAAACTTTTAAGGTTCGAACGCTTCAAAGCATAGTCACGGGATAGACTGAGTTGTTTCACTTCCTAATGTCAGAGTTAACCCGTGCTACCGTAAATTACTTTATAATTAATTTTTTTTTATGTGAAAAGTTGCCAAACGAGCAGACGGGCACCTGATGTTAACTGAATACCGCTTCCCATAGACATCTGCTACACCCGAGGGTTTGCTGTTGCGTTGAGAACCTTTTTGGAAATTGGGCTCCGGCTACCTCACTCACCAGACGAAACGCGAAAGTATTTGTCATACTTGTGGAAGTACGCCGGTCTTCTGTGAGGTCGTGGTTCTTACCCGGACGAGCCTGCCCATTCGTGCAACAGCCGAGGTATTTTATTTCGATCTACACAAAAGGTGCTTATGGTATCATGAGGTCCAGCAGTATTGGTATATTTCGATTAGGTTTACAAACATTGGGATCCCCAACCGTCCTCTCTATTATAAATTAGAATGTTTATTTATTTAGTCACTTTTAAAATTTCTTACCAAAATTATAACAATTCGTTTCGTTGACAGCATTTTGTACACATAAATTGTCAGACACATTGGCAACTGGTACATCACGACCATTTCTTTCCTCCATTACAAGAAGGCCGTCTTCCCATTTTCTTACTAAGTTCTTAGACTTTTCATCAACTCCGTAAATTGTTGACAAGTCTATCATCGGTGTCTGCAGGTTAATCTAAAGGGTGGTTATACAAACACGAAAAGCATAAGTCAAAAATCGTATGTTAATGTTTTTGAAAAAAGACTTCATATAGAATCAAAAGGTGAATTAAAAAATTTCAAAACAGATTAAGTTGTTACAATATTTTTATAGAAAACATTTCATATTCAATAAAGACTATATGTAACAATAGTTTACTAACGTGTTCCGGCAACATTGACTTTGAAAGACAATTGACGTCTTGAAATGTTTCCGCGCGGGAAAAATTGAGACATCTTATGCCGGTTACTTTAAGATAAGGATCACCTTCCGGCACTTCGATTGGCCTACATCTGGCATCCGGTTGCTTACTCGGATGACAGCAATCCTGTTCTTTAAGATATTTCACTGGAAATAAAGGCGGAATAATATTTAGTATCGTTTTAAGCAAATTTTTAATTCCTTTTCTAATCATATGGCAGCAATAATTTTTTTGCTGAAATGATTTTTTTTCCTTTGATTGTGACCGTCTAAAGTAGATAGGGTTACTGTTATGATTCAATTTAACTATATTATAAAATACATTTTAAATTTAAATTTAATTTATTATAGTTAATTATTAATATATTAATTTAATTTTAAACGCCATAAAGAATATAATGTTACCTGGCTTAAACAAAACTGTCATATCTTTATTAATGAAATCTAGGAAATGCAATGCCGCAACATTGAAAACAGTTTTGTCCGTCACTCGCCCAGTACCTTGCAGTGATGTCCTGACTAACCGTGCTGATGGCAATGCTTTTCCATTTTTACTTCTCTTAATATATCCATCTATAACATAACTACAATTTTAATACTTAAGTAAAGTAAGTAACAATAAAAGTAACTAACTATATCATTTATTTAAAAATTATGAATAAAATATAGAATAATATGAAAATGGAAGTGTTTCAAATTTCCTAATGCTATTAATTAACATAGACCAAATCTTTGTAAGGAATTCATTTCATTTAATGTTTCAATCTTTAGACTCTCCTTTTATTCTCACTGAAAGTAAAATGGGACAGCATTAAGCTCGTTTCCGAGTTGGGGATTAGGTTATATAATTTACATTTGAAAGAGTGGAATAAATATGTTTGTGAAATTTCCTTAACTTACTTTCTGAAAAGTCGGGTATTAGCAGCCTTGCATACGGCCCTTTAGCAGTGCCCAGAGAAGGGTATTTGAAATTATTGCAACTGCCGTCAATACGACTGCCTTCATGTGGAGTACATGGTCTAATGTCTATTGTACAGATTCTGTGAAACGGTTTTAAGCATTTGAAATTAAATTGAATTCTGGCATTATAAAAAAAATAAAAACCTATCATAATTTAAAAGAATTCATATAATATACTATAATAATATAATTCTGATATTCATATAAATATCAGAATTATTACGGTAGACAAGTTTAACATTAGCTTCGAAAACTGGTAGAGGATCCTACCGCTAAGAAATACTATACTTTAAAGAAATATTTCATCAGAAATAAATAAAGAAATATCGCAGAAAACCGGCGTAAAGTAGAAGTGTTACACTTCTGCGTTTTGTCTAGTGAGTGAGGTAGGGGGGCTCACATTATTAAAAGGTGGCAACACATCTGCTACCGGCGTTGCAAATGTCCGTGGGCGGCGGTTATCACTTAACATCAAGTGAACCGCCAGCTCGTTTGCCACTTACTCACATAAAAAAAATATGACATAGTGATACCAGTACCAAACTAGATAGAACCAGGAGTCTTGCGACTGCAGTTTGTAATGTAACTCGTATTTCTCAAAAATATGTAATTATAAGGATTACACGTTCCATTTATAAATGCATGGCGCATACAAGGCTGTGTATAGGCTAATGTAATATTGAGGAAAGGTACTCTTACTTGGTAGTATTGGCCAGTTGCAACTCTTTCATTCGTGCATCATCTACTTTTTCACCACTGAAACGATCATACAAAACGCATTCTGTTTGTAAAATCGTTGAGAGTAACGTTAAAATATACGTCAAATATGTCTTCATTCTTGAACACTACTAGCTTCCCGACTAAGCAAAGCAGAATGACGTTACTGACCAAATATACCGCTTTGCAATAATAAGGCATTCTGTCGGTGTATAGTTTTTCCTTCCATTTCTGTGAACGAACTCAAACGAATTAATTGTAAAGTTGCAACAGCTTCCTGTACTGCAATACGTAATCTACGGACGTTGCTACGAAATTTTTAGATCAATACTTCTTTTTGTGTCTTATTTTAATGTAGCTATTTCATATATGTTGTGGTATAATGGTTATAGTTAATCACTGAAATGAACAAGCAAAGAACCAACCACCTTTAGCTATCAGACCATTGCTTCTTAACGTAGCACACTCGCCGCTAAAACGATATTATAAACTTGGATAAACTCGAGACAATACATGTTATTCGAGTAGAAACAAAAGCAAATGTGTGTATTAATTGAGTATTCGTACAACTTTGGGTAACTTTTTTGAAACGGTTGTCATACAAACTGCCTATTTATGGAATGCGAAATACGCGTTAATAGGATTTCGACTAAAAGCACCTGAAACATTGAATAATTGACGAATACAAGTTGTAACTACGTAAACGACGATAACCAATTTTGCCGTAAAAACGGCCACAAGTTTTGATTAGTTAATATGAGGTAAGTATTATCTCATTTTAACTCAGATTTAGTTAGAGCTTCAGTTTTATTCCTTATGAAAGACAAAAATCAAACATTTTAAATGAAAAAAAAAATTGTGACGTATACGCTAACTTTTACTCCAGTATTAAAATATGTAGAAAAAGTGCGAAAAGATTGTCGCCGCTGTGGGAGTCGAACCCACGTCTTCGGCATTCGCGGCCTGACGCTCTAGCCACTGAGCTAAACGGCTGATTACTGGCAGCATTGCTTCAAATGCTAATAAAACAATGTGGAAGAATGCGTTAAGATTTTCGTCGATGTGGTAATCAGCTGTTTAGCTCAGTGGCTAGAGCGTCAGGCCGCGAATGCCGAAGACGTGTGTTCGATTCCCACAGCGGCGACAATCTTTTCGCACTTTTTCTACATATTTTAATGTTCAATCTTAAGTGCAAAGATTAGCACTATAAACAATTTAAATTTTTACTCCAGTAGTTTGTATTTATTCTGTACCTGACAAAGATATAAACTAACATTCAAACACTGAAACAAAAACATAAGGTTGTAACACTTTTTTTTCAACGCCTCCTACCTTTTAGTATCGAATGGCTTTGATTAAGGGTTAGTTGTACATTGGCGATATCTGTTGAGGACAATACAATTTAGTTGAAGGAATTTTTAGAAAATCTATATTTCATTTTGGATTCATATCTTTAATGTTATCTTGTTGTTATTTTATACTTTTAATTTTAAAATACGCGACAAAAATACTGTCGAACAACTAGAAATTTGTTTTACAGCGATCAAATATCAGAAAACCAAATTATATCAAAATTTTAACATCAGTGACAAATTTTAACGTTAGCAAGTCGGTGATGCGAAATTATGAAATCCATCCAAATTTGACCAACGTACCTACAGAAGTTTTTACTTAAAAAATGCCTAAGTAAAATATATGGAACTGAAATGATGGTTTTAATTCAATTATGTAGGAACATTCAAAACTGAACAAATAAACCCAGCTTGTATTTGGCAGTAAATTTTAATCACAAAGCAACAACGGCATTTGTTAGTTTTAACTTAAAACGCATCGGTAATCAAATGCTAATTATTTGTTTATCGCATTCAAATTATCTAGTTGTATTGGTTTTTCCACGAATGCGGAGAACCCTAAAAATATGGTTTATATTTTTACCTATATGTATGTGTTTATGTATGTCTGTCCTTACGTATGTATGTCGTAACTATTTAATGACTGAACTAATTTTGATGAATGATGTCGTTAGATTCTTCTTTATTGCACGAGTGTCACTGGGTAAGTTTATAATTTTTTTGGAAAATTATAAGACAACGCTCCATATCAAAGTAATTTTTCGATGACTTGCACAAAGGGGCAGCGGAGTAAAAATACCTGAGTGACAGATGTGAGATTTTTTTATATGTATATGAAACACAAATACGAATATGTTATTATTACATTACTAACTCACAAATCAAACAACATCAACGAACAACTTCTGCTTAATATAAAATTTGACCATGTATACACATGGGAAACTATATTCACAATTCAGCTTAAACATAAAGTTTCTGGCGGGAAGTACGAAACATTAAATAGCAACAAAATTTTGGCCCATGTTGATTTTCGTAAAATCTGCATTGTTCGTTACTTACTTACGTGTCTGATTTTATGTGGTTCATTCAACGTTTTATTGAATGTATAGAATTTATTTAATATGGTTAAATTTTAATATTATTGGGAAACTAATGAATTCTGTTGTTTGTAGCAACCCATTATTTACTGTGCTATATAATATTGTATAAGACCAAGTCGTCCTGCTGTCTATCTTTCCCTATGTATGCATAAACTGACCACTTTTTTTCTTACTCAAAACGAGACATTGGTTTACAACTAAAATAAACATAACTTTTCAATTTTCTTTATTCCGAAAAGATTAAAATTAATAGATACAAAGAAAACAACATCAGTTCACTATTTTTATTAAAAAAACATTGGTATGTTTTTAAATATATAATTATATTTCTCAGAGGAACAAATTTTTTTTTAATAAAGAAGGTGACGATATTAAATAAGAATAAAATAAAAACAAAACTTCGAATTATCTACAAAACTATTTAACGTGAGCGTGGCTAGCCTATTGAAAGAAACAAATGACAAGATTGATGAACAAATTGAAAGTAAAACATGCGGGGAATAACCGATCACGGTTCCACGCTGCTCATGATCATGTCTAACGAGCATAGTTTTAAAATTTCACGCGGTTTCAGAAAACAGGACAATTTTGCGTCCCGAAGATTTGTTCGGGGACAAAGGGACAACTGTCCGAGAAAAGGGACAGTCCCGTTCAAAACGGGACGTATGGTCAGTTGCATAATTGTTTAAAACTACGTAACGGATCTTGATATGGTTTTTTTTTTTTTACTAGATAGAATGATTCAAGAGGAGGGTTTATATGTATAATACATTGCTCCTGTGCCAAGCCGGATCGGTCGCAAGTGCTGTATAACAATGACAATTACTAAGTTAAAAGTGTTTTTTTTTTATTTTTACCTTAAAACTACTTAAGATATTAAAAAAAACAGATATTATATATAGATCTCAACTGGCTTCTAAAATTAAATCCTACCATTTTTATGATGAAGGTCGCCAAGATACGAAAAACTTTATACTGAATTAGAAAAATTCTTCTCTGACCATACTATTTTTATAAAAGACCGTTATCAGGTCATAGTGAAATCCCTAAAAATTGTACCGTCTGTTAACACACATCTTACATCATTCTTAAACATTGACGAATACTAAATTGAATATTTTGTAACACAACTCCACCCCACCATTATACCACCCAATTTGCCGTCGGCACTTGTACAATGCGACCAATTCTACTGACCAATAACGATGCCGAAACCTTAGCCGAACCCTTTTTTCAATGCCAACTTGAAAAGTATTCGCGAACCAGAGCAAAAAACCTTTAATAAATCAAACTGA